ACTGTACAAAGATTTGTAAGATCTACAAAAAACCCTAGCACTCTGTTGCATCCCACTCCAACACAGAAGGAAGCATCCAAGATTTGTAGATGCTCATGGTTGAAAAAAGAACGGCAAAAGCCAAAAGGGGTCAAAACCCCCTCAGTTTTATTAGCAAACTACACACTCGGCATGGAAATTGGTATATATTTTGCCTTTATCTTATAATATCAATACTAGAATAAAAATAAAGAAGGGGGAAAAAGAGGAAAATGAAAGGGAAATCAGATAGGAGAGGAAAGGCGATCACCAGTCCTGGGACCAACATTGATCCAGCCAACAGGGTGTCCAGGGTCCTGGGGATGCCACCTGAGCTCTGCAGGTGTACCTTCTTATAGGTAAGTTTTCCCCACCCTGGGATTAGGTTTCTCCCTCTTCCATGTAAATGAGTTAGCATGCACAGTCTGGTCTTCTGGACCTTTCTGGAAATGGGTTAGAGGACTTTGAGGGTCTTTTGGTGGTCTCGATCCCCCCTCTATTGGTCTTGCCCGCTCCTTGACCCTAGTTCTGAGCTTGTGCTGTATGTTGTGTGGTCACCATGGACCTGAACAGGAAAATTAGCTCCAGAAAGGTGCTGCCATACCTTCATACGGCCTGCCTTTCCAGGCACATCCTGTTCTAACTTGACCACTTGAATGGTTATTGGTGTTTGAGGCATAGCAATGCATTAACTCCTTACTGCCTGGGCTTCTACACATTGATGTCTGCTTTAATAAAATAGACAAGCCTATGTTCATTGTAGTATGTAGTATTTTTCTGTGCTAGCAGATGTGTCTTTGTCTCTGAACTTGTTTATGTGAATGTGCATTCTTAGTCTGAATGACAAATGCAGTTGCAGAAGGCTTAATTGATTGTCTGAAATGGGTTTGTTGTGCCTTTCAGTCAGTTAATTGTATATATTATTTAGCTCCAGAATATTGGTGTTCAATTGCATATTTTGAAATGGATGTGCAAGTCGGGGAAACATTTAAGGTCCCTTCAAGCTGTCCAATTGTTACCGTTGATGGATATGTGGATCCTTCTGGAGGAGACCGTTTTTGCCTGGGCCAGCTTTCCAACGTGCATAGAACAGAAGCCATTGAGAGAGCAAGGTATTTTGCAGATCCTAAAAGCTCCAGATGTGTATGGTATTTGATAATATTTTGTTTTGCCTTTAGTGTGTGCCTCCCTTTTGAAATCACAAATATGGTATGTTTCTTTGAACTGAATTAACTTTAACAGAGTATATCTTTCCAGGCCACTCCTGTAATGCATTCAAAATGTGAACTGTGAGACAAAGCCCTTCAGAGCTTTGCAGTACCATGTTGCTTTTCATTACTTTCAAAGGCTGTGCCTTCAAGGATAAAATTAGCAACTCATGACATTTTATGTATGCAAACTGAATATAGAGTGATGTGAGAATAACTGCAATATATACATTTGTCAAAGGAGCAAAGGAAGGTTGATAGAGAGCTAGTTGGATTTTCATTCATTCTCGCCATGCACGTGCTATGGATGTGGAACTGAAGCAATTTTGCAACTTTTTTTTCCCCTCCTTTGAAATGAAAAGGAAGAAAATGATTCCATGTCTCTAGAAATGTTGCATTGTGACAATCAAAATGTTAGATTGCTATAATGTGATCCAAATGAACATAGTTCTACATTAAAATGTGACTTTGTGTATGTACTTAAGTGACTTTCTATACTAGAATACTTGTGGGATTTTACACTTCTGAACAGAACTGAATGTGTTTGGTATCCCAACTCTCTATTGTCAATGAGTGTGGTAGTTGCAACGTGAATATCATTGCTTCTGCATTCTGTTTCCCATAGATTGTTACATGGTATTACATATAGTTTTTTACTTAATAGATTTTGTGTAACTACATACTAACTTACATGTGAGATAATAACTACAATTTCTTGTCCTTGTATGAGTGGAGTGCTGGACATCTGTTTATGGTTTATTTAGCAAAGGTCTGATTTATATTATGTATACACAGGTGCATTGGATGTTTGGTTGTTTTGTTTTGTTTTTTTAAGGTTGCACATAGGTAAAGGGGTGCAGTTGGAGTGCAAAGGAGAAGGTGATGTGTGGGTTAGATGCCTCAGTGATCATGCAGTGTTCGTTCAGAGTTACTACCTGGATAGAGAAGCAGGGCGTGCACCAGGGGATGCAGTTCACAAGATTTACCCAAGTGCATATATAAAGGTTGGTTTGATGTTCCTAGATGAAAATTGTAGGGGAAATAGAGTATATTTGGGTCTTGTAAATGTTATGGAAGGTATGAGGCACTGAAATAATGTAACTTGGCTTTAAAAAACCCTAAAAATTTCCATTTGACAAGTCACTAAAGATGACTTTTTAAAATGACTAAACTGAAAGTGTCACCTAGATACTATGAAAGTAACTAATTTTGTATTTTGTCACAAGCAGTCTCGATAGCAGTTTTTTGTATTTTTAGCCTTACAGGTTTAAATTAATTGCTACTATAATTTTTAGCATAGGTTATCTGTTTCTTTGCTTTCTCACTCCAGAACAAGAAAAGTTGGGAAAGTATGTATAAATGCGGTAGAAGTGTAAAGTGTGTGTTAGTGTTATGAATGTCAAGTGATTCAGAGGCCACAGAATGTTGCATGGAAACAAATTACTTACTTAGATATGCCTCTGCCAGACTCAAAACCTTATTTAGGACAAGTCACACTTGTATAAATGCATTTTTGAATTGGAGATAAACTGCTTGAAGTTTGTGGTGATTCTTTACTTTTTTTAATCCTCAATTTTGCAGGCAGGTTGTGTAATGAAGGTGAAAGAAACCCTACTAACCTTTATGCAAGATTTGTAGTATGAAAACAGAGTTCCTGTGTATATATATTAGTGCTAAGCCCAATCACAAAGATATAAAATACCATAAACCCGAAACCTAGATGCTGAAACTTCAGACCTGTCAATTATTGGTATTTCTCTTAAATAGACTAACACATTTCAGTAAAACAGTGAAGAATAAAGTCTGACAAAGTTAAGAAGGACTTGTTGGCATCCATTTTTATTTATATGCCACTTTTCTGGAAATCCTGGGACTTAAATGTTGGGATTTTATCAGCCACAGTATCCTTCAGACTTTGATCTTGCAGTCAGTTCCACACATGGTACTGCTTTAGCCTGCTCAGTTCAGACAGGTTCTGTTATTGCCAGTGGCGGTAATGTCATATGAGAAGAGTCTCTAAGAATCAGCTTTAATGGATTATTTCTGTTAGAAATTAAATTAGTCAGGGAAGGTTTGCTTTTATCCAAGTGTATGGTGAGACTATAGAAGTTGCTTTGGGAGAGCAGAGAGGTCCAGATTATTTGGGATGGGAGTTGAGGAATTATTTTCTTTCTTGATTTTTGCTAAGTTTAAATAGTTCAATGGTTTTATTTTTTTTAAAGGTGTTTGATTTACGCCAGTGTCATCGTCAGATGCAACAGCAGGCTGCCACTGCCCAAGCTGCTGCTGCTGCTCAAGCTGCAGCAGTAGCAGGAAACATCCCTGGACCAGGATCAGTAGGTGGAATAGCCCCAGCCATTAGTAAGTACATTAACCACTTGGTTTCCTTTTTTCCTTACCTGAAAACAAATAACACAGCTCTCCCTCACAGCAGCATCCACCCACTCACTGCCCCTGCAGCAGTACAAATGGACTTGGAATGAGGTAGCAGGATTGGGGTGACGTGGGGCTGGGGTGGCATCATGGTAAGTCTATATTCATTGACTTTGTACCTGCTCCACACACCGTCTTTCACTCTGTAGTCTTCAGGGAATGTTGGATATGGAAGTGACTGCTTATTGTACTGCAAGAAATGTTGCAGTACAACAGAAAGCATGTTATATACAAGGTTAAATAGCATAACTTTATTATTTTAAACAGAGGTACTTTTGACTGCTTACACCTAAGCTTTTCTTTGAGATCCAAGCTCATAAAAATGTTACTCAAAACAATAGGGATTACTGGGCAACAGTCCTTGACTAGGTTTAGGAAAACTTAAGATTCTTGAAGAGGAAGAAGAGAGCGAGATAGGAAAAAAAAAAGAGAGGAAAAGCACTAAGTTATTCTGGGCTGGAGTTTTCATAATTACTAAATTCTAGATTCTTGAAATGGTACCGAAGTACTTTTAAAAGTGTAAGTACTTACATGTCTCAGGCTGCTTTGTGTGTCATAGTGTTTTCTGGATTCCTTGTATTGCCATGTGGCTCTTTCCAACTATCCTACAAATTGCTGAAGGCATTTTTTAGGAAATGTATTTAACTTTTTTCTTAGCCATATTTGCAATTCGAAGTTTGCCAGCTGTATTCATCTTTTTGTTTTATTATGTGTAAGTAGTGTCACTTGTTAATCCAGCTTCCTGCAGGTGGTCAGTCTGAATTCCTATGCTAAAAATGCAGCATTTGGCAAACCTCAAGAATAAGTGTATTTTTACTTCAAAATAAGGATTATATGCATTGTTATTAGGTAAGGCATTGGGTTTCATTCCACCTGCTTTATTATAGAGTTTTATATTTCAGCACCCTTTCAAGATTACAGAATGATAAAAAAATTAATTGTAAGAAATGCAAATTAATTGCTGCATTCATTATAGCAGAGATCTAGAAATATGGATTGGCCTTGGCTGTGGTGAGAGGGAACTGTATGTGAAGCAAGAGTCAAGCAAACAGGAATGGCTAAACAAAGATGATAAAAGAACATGTCTGAACACTTACTTGAAACCTCTCCTGTTTAGGTTTGTCAGCTGCTGCTGGAATTGGTGTAGATGACCTTCGCCGCTTATGCATACTCAGGATGAGTTTTGTAAAAGGTTGGGGACCTGATTACCCAAGACAGAGCATCAAAGAGACACCATGCTGGATTGAAATTCACTTACACCGTGCCCTGCAGCTTCTAGATGAAGTACTTCATACCATGCCTATTGCAGACCCACAACCTTTAGACTGAGGAGATCCCTCTGCTGCACTGCTGCAGGACATTATATTGTGAGGATGGTGGACTGTAAAATACAGTTCTGTTTATAACCTGAAGATATATTTTACTTTTGTTTGCTTAATCTTCTAAAACCAGGTTTTAAAAATGTGTTTGCCGCCTTGCTCTTAGCAGAAAGAAACTAAACATGCAGAGTTTGGATTTAAGTTATTTTCAGAACTCAATTGTCATAATACAGGGCTTAAAGTGAAAGGTAAATAAATGCCTTATAGCGACTTTACAGTATTGGATTTGTTCCCTTTGAAACTTTCCTTCTCTATTACGGCATCTTGGTGATAAGTCTCACAGGAGCCTTTTGTATGCAGAATATATA